GGGGGGGGGGGGGGGGAGGAGAGGGCAGGGAGTGAGCAGGAGAAAAACCGTTTAACATGCCTCTTTATGTTTCATTTTGTGAGGATATACTTCTAAATTGTGCTGTTCTTATGCATCCTGCTTTGTCGATCTGTTTGTTTCAGTTTAAGTTATCCATTTTCGTTTTATAATGAGGCCCAACTTCATGCATCAAACCAACGTTGCAAGTCCATGCCAAGTTGCAAGCTCACACTCACAAGCACAAGGAGAGAGGAAAACCCAAAGCCGGGAGATATGAGCACTCGAGTCATCTTCCCTGAGCCCAACTTCTCTTGCGGGCAACTACCAGCTCCTGTCTCCCTCAAGTGGAAACAAGTCTGTGTACAACTGGGGGGTTGGCTATGGCCACCAGCACAACCACAAGGAGATGAACTCTCTCAAGCTTCGATCCTCATGCCGCTCTCTTGCTCTCTCTCCCCCTCAATGCCTTCTCTCTTCTATCTACGGTACAACTATTGCTATGGCGCCTTGCGCCTGATGACTACTGGCGCTCCTCTCTCTCTCTCTCTCTCTCTCTCTCTCTCTCTCTCTCTCTCTCTCTCTCTCTCTCTTGTTACCTGGTCACACTCTTGAGCGCAGCGGTGCTTTCAGAGCAAGCACAAATGGAATTGCAGTCAAAAGCTGCTTTCCTTTTGTATGTGAAGATTTGGCTCCCAGCTCTTGAACTTGCAGACCCAGAGGCCGGATTCCAGACATACAGGGGTTGCAGTCATCAGTCAGCCGTTGGTTATCCTGACCATTTTTTGTGAGACCGGCACCCTACCCACCCTCTCGTCAATTCTTCTGGCGCATCCCCTATTCCCACTATCCTACATCAGTGTCAGTCACTCAGGGCTATCCCCTCACCATCTCGGAGGGTGACTTGGACCATACAGCGGTTCTAAGCACCAGGGCTAGGCAGACGAGCACCGGAACGGAAGCTTCCCAGGAGGTCACCCAGCGGTGACAATGGTACGATTCCAGCTCACACCCTACCCAGCCCCGGTTGAAGCATGATCGGACGAGCGTTGTCGCCCGGGTGCTTCGGACTCCAGGCTTCAGCAGTGTTTCCATCAGCCTCACCTACTACCCTTATCCTACCGAGCATATCACTGACCATATCTGATAGGACCCCCAAAGCCCAGATCAAGTCTATGACACCCCTAGCAGAGACCGGGTACCCCTGCCTGGCATTGTACTTTGTACTTGTGCCCGTCGGCTATGTCTGTGTGTATGCCCGTTGGCTATGTCTGTGTGCCTGCAAGCTGTGTAGGTGGCCACAGGCTGTGGATGTGCCCATAGGCCATGTATGTGTAATGACTTGCTGCTTGCTGCCGTAGCTGTCTGCGGGGTTGTACACTACGGTGTGGTTTTGCCTGCTGAGTTTGCGGCATGTTTGTTACTGTGTGATTGCTGTGTTTTTTTTGTGGTCGCACTGAGGGCTGTCCGCTGTTCTAAAAATAGAATAGAATTAACAGCGGTAGAGTTTGAGTGTTTGCGGGCCCTAAGGGGCACTGCGCCCTAAGTGCTGTAGGACTGCTGTAGAGGCCGGGTAGGCCCTTAGGGCAACGGTACCGGTAGTAGTTCTGGTCCAGTAGGTTAGGCCGAAAACTATAGGTAGGGTAGGACCGATAGTTAGGGACTTTTGG